TGTGTGTGCGTGTGTGTGTGTATGTGTGTTTGTCGTGTAAATGTGTGTTTTTTTAGTTTATATGTATATGTATATATATTATGTATATTATATATATACATACTATTATATATACATATAAATATATACATATATATTATAAATATTATATATAAACACACATACACACACACACATACACTCACTCACAAATATGTGTTTTATATGCGAGTGTTTTCTTAGACGTTTGGGGAGGCACACACACACATACACACACACACACATATATATATATATATATATATATATATATATATATATATATATATATATATATTATTATATATCAGGTGACCTCAGAAAAACTTTACCCTCGGAGACACCCATAAAAACGGTTCAAATAGAGATAGAAACACAAGATTTCACAGACGTACTTGGTTAGCATCCAGACTGATTGTGTGGAATTTAGAAAAATAAAATTAAAGTTTAAAGGATGTTTGAGCAGATGCTCATTGACGTGACGTCCTGGTCGGGCGATACACACTGTTCAGCGCTTGACCAAAATATTAAAATTTGTCTTCGACATTTTCTATTTGCTAAGTGTTTGATGTACCTGGATCTTGTACGTTCTAAACGTCAGATCGCACTCCGACAAGCGCCCAACAGAATATTTAACAATAGTTAGTTCAAACATATTCAAAGACGACGAACTGACTTTTATGTTCTTCGCTCACAGACTCCATCCCCATTGTCGCATTTTCAGAGTGCGCATTTGCACCGGTTTCCCATTATGATGAGGGGCCCTAGTTTTTTTTTAAAATCTCTTTTTATAGTTTTCAACAAAGCCATATGACTTAACAATAGCCACCCACTTAATGTTACTTTACTTGGTGTTTTCTTAACGGTCTCTGGTGTTAATTCAAAAGTGGTTACAGAAGAGATTCCGTGTCTTCATGGGGAACTTTGTTCCGATTTAATTATGTTTCAACCATAACAGTATGTTGTTCAACAGTGAACTGTATTTTCAGAGTAGCCATAGCTGCTTCCAAGGTACTGTTGCTTTTGTTACGTGTTTCTCCTTCCGGATGGTTCAGCTTGTTTCTTGTCAATTTTTGTATGAATTGTGCACTTTGGTGGAGAGCGATAGGCTTTCCTGCGAGTAAAGGTTGTTTGGGGGTTAGTATGTTTACATATATATAATTAAATATAAAAAATTACATAAGAATAAGTGTTTGGGTGTCCGTAGGGATGGGTGCGTAACTGTGCTGGAGTGCATTGTGTTTAAATATTTATGCGTATGTGTGTGTATGTGTGTGTGCTTGCGCGTCTGTGTATGTATCTGTGTGTTTGTGTGTGTGTGTGTGTGTGTGTGTGTGTGTGTGTGTGTGTGTGTGTGTGTGTGTGTGTGTATGTGTATGTGTGTGTGAGTGTGTGCATGCCTACGTGTGTGAGAGAGAGAGAAAGAGAGAGAGAGAGAGAGAGAGAGAGAGAAAGAGAGAGAGAGAGAGAGAGAGAGAGAGAGAGAGAGAGAGAGAGAGAGAGAGAGAGAGAGAGAGAGGGGGGGGGGGGAATGGGAATCATGTTTGTGGGTAAGACTAAGAATTATGTCAAAAGAATAATTGCATTATTTTCTGAAAGTCGTAATTAGGTGATGGTTTTTAGTTTAGTAGAGGTTTTACGGCGCTCGCAGCTGCATAAGGTCATATGAGCGCATATGTGATGGAGCTGTGAGATATTTATAGAATTCATGAAAGATTCTTTTTAACAAGTTTATATAAAAAGTATCGAAATACATTATCATTATTAGCTACAAAATTCGGGGTACCACCTGTATGTTATATACACAAAATAACCCCCCCCCCAACCCCCCCAACAAAAACAACAAAAACCAAACTAACAAACAAAACAACCCCAACCCTAAAAACAACCTGCAGGGAAAAGAAACGTCTGTCTGACAGTTTGGACTGAGGTACACACATCACCCTCTCCAGCGTGACAAATGTGCTTGTCCTGAGTCCTGAGGTTCGGCTTATGATTCAACGTTACACATCTTGTTTGTTTGGAATGTGTTTAACAGGCCCTTTCGACCCCAGTTAGTAGGCCATTGGAAAGTGTATGGTAACACTGCGTGGTTGAAGAAAACCTTTGTGTTTGGGTTCTACGTCAGATCACCGGATGATAAATTGACTGGAGAGAAAGTAGAGCAGAAAATATGGGTATTGGAAAAATCGCCGGTATGTCGGTTGGGGGGGGGGGGTTTTGGGGGGGGGGGGGGGGTAAGCTTATAAGTGGCCAACACATCTAGCGCTTGTA